GGAAGTGGGATGAAGAAACCTGAACGCTTTGCCACACGCACACACACACACACAGTCAATTTTCACTCGATTATCACGTGCTGAGAACACGGTTAAATCAACGAGCGAATTTTCTGTAGTACGCATTTTTGTCTCTTGTTCTAAGTGCATTGGGGTGTGATCTGGTAATATTTCGAGAGACATCACTTTCGTTAGTTCGTTGATGAATTACGCATCACATGCTTCTCTGCACATCACAGAGGCTTGCACGTCAAGCGTGTGGTGCAGGGAGCAACTCAAGGAGAACACCTAGGAGGGCACACGCGCGCGCGCGCACACACACACACAAGACGCACAGCTGAAGTGCTCATTGGAGCCACACCCACGGCTTTTCAGGGCACACCCGAAACAGAGTTCAGGCAGCACGATTTCGAGTGTCGCAGAGCTTTTTAAGAAAACCACACCTCTGGTACAACTGCCATTAGTTGACCTGAGTTTTGGTTTTAGATAGATTTTTTCAATTAGTGTTTCTAAATCTGGCGCCCAGGAGCCCCCTAAAGTCTAATTAAATCCTGTTCCATTGTACATTCGTGATGATTTAATTAGAAGGCCTTCAAGATAATAAACCGAGAGTTCTTAGGTGGACCCAAACACGGCATGCACGTCTGAATCAAAAGTTTTTGCAAAGCACACATTTATTCATAGGGAAACGCGGGATGCCTTGTTCACGGTAAACTTAAAACTCACTCAAATTCAAATGCAGACGTTTCAGTCAGCAAATCTCGAGTCATGATTGTATTTACATGGCAGGCATTTTTCCAAGTGTAACAAATAGCTAAAGTCCAGCAGCGCTTCATTCTACAGGGGCCTGAAAAAAACTGACTAACAATGCGTTGATCCCACTGATTGCAACTCCAAACGTTCATCTAGTCAAGCACCTGGACGGGTTTTTCAATGCAGAGATACATGAAAGGACTGGAAGGGGATAGCCTAGCGGAGTATACAGAATGTGTGTTCAGGAATCGCCTTAAAGAGAAGCTAAAATAGCAATATTCCAGACCACAGGAAGGCTGTTATTATTTGGAGATCAACAGATTACAATAAAGGCGCATAACTCAAGTTTGTGTCGAGGTAAACTGAACTGATCAGGTTTCGCCATTTTGTTTCATTCATCTCCTAATAAAATATTCAAATATCTATGTGAACTCTCTTACGTGGCATAGGGTAAGCCTTTATTAAACTTACGTCACCCGAAGACATGGAACTCTCATTACAGCCAGTCAGAGTGTATGATATGTGGTTGTGATCCAAGAAAATGTGTGATTTTTTAAGTGGTCTCAAAGACTGCTTTTTTCATCAGATGAGTCGTGACAGTCGGAGAAAGTGATCGGACCAAAGCGCAATCGAGAACCAAGTGGATGGACTGTTAAGCGCATGGTTTCAACACAGAGTCCGATTAAAAAAATGTGAAGGCGAACTCACACGGGTCCATGAAAATAGCCATTTCTTAATTACTGCATGATTCGAAATTCACTGACATAAAGTAGCCACCCACTTTCACACAGAAACAGCAAACAGAAAGAGCAATCAACTGATTAGTTTGAAGTTTTAGTGGGAGAATCTTCTGCTGACGCGGTGTGTGGTGGTCAGATGATCCACAACGAATCGCGTGTTTTTTCCAATATATCTCCCATAATGCAGAATTATGCTTGTATTATTGGGAAAATATCATTTCGGCAGTATATTCCAGTGGTGTGGCTTAGTGATCAAATCACAGAAACGGTCACAAAAATGACTTCAAACACCTTAAACTGTAGGAGTTAGCAAACGGTGCTGCACGAAGCGCTCAGAGAAGAACGACTGACGAGGCGAGGCAGTAGCTCAATCACTTGCTGGACCACTCCACATATGTGTTGTCTTTGTCGAGTGGTACGTTTGCTTAAAAGCCTCAGAGGTGCACAGGGAGGATACGACTCATTGCGATTGTTAACCAATGAAGTTCATATGAAATGGTTAATGCATAAGCATCTGAATGATATGGCGTGTGTTAAGGGCGACAAGGGCGGTACTGGTACAGGGCCGTCTGATCATACAAGATCCCAGAAGTGGCGAAGACACTAAGAAGAATAGGGCATGGTGTCGGATTGTGCGGAGACAGACTTGATAGACGTGAATTAGCACAATTCACTGCACACCCTTCGAGTCGGTACTGACGTAGTGAACCTCCAGTGATCTACTTCCATTTGTTTGTTCCACTAAATTAGACGTTATTTGAGAAGGCTTTCTTGCGCGTAATTTATCAACAGTAAATAACCATAATTTGAGCCTGCTGACTCACACATTGAGATCTCAGATTTAATCTTCTGTTTAAAAGTGCATGTGGTGTATCATGTTGATTCACGTCGAAGCCTCCCACACACTTCCCCCTTTTTGCGGCGTGCCCGTCAGTCACGTGCGGCCGCCTGCTCGTTCACCCCTTTGTATGTACCACCACTACCACCCGCTCTATCCGCGTGACCATTCAGACCTCTGTATTTTTACTATTCCACGCAACTGTATAAGTCAGCAAAACACCTGCGTCTAGCACTACTCCTAGTATATGCAAACGACAACGCAACTTCGTTGAGCTGTATAGTAAACGGATGTACCTCGTCCTCTATGGCCTTCATCATCAGGTTTACGCAACCGGGCTAAATTCAACACAGTGGTTCTGGCGTGGTCTGGGCCAACATGCTGGGGCCCTCAACATGCACAAGAGCAGCCATTTTACAGATCAGAAACCAGAATTTGATGAAGATCCGCACCACTAGACTATTCTTTGGAGAGTTGGTGGAGGCTAACCAAAATCCTTCGTTGTATATACATTGTCAAAAGCTCTTGGTTTTTAAATTTAAGCTTAACCTACCGAATTAATCGTTGCTACGGTTACCTACAGACTTTGTTTAGGTCCCCAGCATGTCGACTTAAACTACATCGGAGCCAGTGTCAAATCTAGTCCGATTGAGCTACCCAGAATACCAACGAGGATAAAGAAGACCAAAGGGGGCTAGGCACAAGCGTTTACGGGATAGTTCAACCAAGTTGTGAGCATTGAATGCAATGCATGACTCATGTGTTTTTGTTAACTGTACACTTGGGTGGACTGGTAAAAATGCAGACGTCTGAATGGTCTGGCGGAAAAAGCGGGTAGTGGGGTTACACGCAGAGGGGTAAATGTGCAGGCGGTCGCGCGTGACTGACGGGCTTGCTGTGAAAAGAGGGGGGTGTGTAGGATTGTTATTGGACCACAACAACAACTTCACATTTGGTGATGATGCCTACCATTTAAAAGTGAAATCTGGAGTTTGCTTAGTTATTTTGGCTAATCGCTAAGTCAGGCCATCGGGTATACAGAAAAATGTCTGAACGGCTTCATTACACGTAAAACCGACTACCATCGACTAATAACGTGCAGTGGTTGAGGAGACGACTGATGACAGAAAAGTACTCGTCTAATTTGCTGTCCGTCTATATTGTTGTTGGCCACCCTAAGCTATAATGCTTGTATTCCAATTCGCATGGTATTTGAAGGCTACCGATTCTGGTTGAGAGCCACCGGTTACAAGTCCCTCCGTCAAATCAGCTTACGGAGTTCCCCTCTCAAGACGTCATAATGTGAATTAGCAACCAACAGAAGTTTAATTCATTAGAAACTTCTAAACTTCTAAAGTACACCAAAATTTTCCAAACATTGTGATCGTCGTTTAAATATTGGCTTGTTTATTGAGTAACAACTGCGTAAAAGCCAAAAGTGCTTTTGTTTTTCGCGCACGCTTTGAGCATGAACCGTACCTGAGCATAACTGACATGTGCGTAATCTGCACACGAATTCGGTGGTTAGTTTGGGCAACGAGGACCTATAGGTGGCTATTTAAGCTGCCGTTGAGCAAAAAAAGTGAGCATGGAATGTCCAGCATTGTTACCTTTGTTTTGTTATGTGATCTTTGATTTGCTCACTCATACGCTTTTCATGAACGTGGCATTTCAACACTCGCAATGAGCCTTGGTAACAGCGAGTCTTAAGGGCAAATGAACTTACGTCTTACTCTCACTTAACAAGTTGTTTTTACAGGAGCTAGGAATGAGCAGTGCAGGTTGCAAGAGTCATTACCCACCAAACCTAGCATCACACATTTTGGAGTTGGCGAAACTAAAGTTGGGTGTTAGAATTACCAAGGTAGGCTGACCAACTTCGCTTTCCGATGACCTCATTGGTGGTGGGAAATGCATCTTTCCTATTGGCTTAAAATCTATTAAAGTTGTAAAAACAACTGACAAACTGGCTTAATACGCCGATACTACGATTATCTCCAATAGTTAAAAGCTCTGTAATTAAAGGATAGTAGTTGAGATGGCAGGTTCTTTACAAATTCAGTGGGCCTCTAAGAGAAGATGGCCACAAAAAATGCTAAACTTGTTTGCCAAAACGGTCTATGAAAGAGAGGTGATTTCTGAGTAAAACGATGCATCGTATTCCTCGTATTGCGTCAAAAATTAAGTTACTTGCAGGGGCACCCGATGAAACAATTTTCTCTAGGCTAAAACAAAGCTTCCTCTTACTGAATTCGATTGTCGTTATTGGCGGAATTCACCACTGGGCTGATAAGGCAACAAATAAAACACTGCACTGGTATTTAAATGCCATTGCAAAACACGGATTTATTTAAGTTCATTACTTCTACTCAGTGAACAGGTACAAAATACGATTAAAATTATACATCTCTTGGCGCACCACTTGTTCTTTCATTAACTCTTGTAGAAAAGACCTAAATAACGAAAAGAAAGGTAACTTTCAGTAAACGTAGCAAAACAATTACATTAAAGCATTGTCGTCATGGTATTGGAGATGAGGTGAGATTTTGACAGCATTCCCGCATTAAAGTGCTTTTAACACAATTGACTACTGGGAGCAATAACCTAGTCTAGCTTTGAATTAGGATTCACAACAATTCTAGTGACTGAAAGTTGTGACATGTTTAAAATTAACTGGTCTTATGGCCTGTTTCAACAGTGGAATTCATGCAGAATAATCTACCTGCGAAGCATCCAGTGAGGAAGCAAGCAATCGTGCCCCCAATCATAGCTGGAAGAACCATGGTGGAGAGGTCGTGTCGTCGGTGCGGAAGCATGGCCACCATGGCTCCAAGCATAATTCCAATTGATCCGATATTCGCAAAACCACAGAGGGCATAAGTAGATATCACTTCAGCGCGGTCTGTCTGAAAGAACGTAACAATAAAGCTTATGAGAACTGCCTTAATAAAGCAGGCCACAGAAGATTGTGTTTTAGCCAATCAGCTGCCTGAAAAATGAATTGTTTGTTTCGGATGCAGTTTCGCAGGATCTGCATCTCTATTAAATATTTTCAGAGTTCAAATTAAATAATTGTTGATGCTAAGGCAAGTGTCTATGTTGGAATGCTAAGTAGCAATTGTGAACCTAATCATAAACGGGTGCTGATAAAAGAAATTAACTTTGGAATAAATTAATGCTAGGCAACCACATCAATAAGGGAGCATCAATATTGACAGACACAACAGTTCTAATGGATTTCGCTTTGTTGCATGCATGCTAACATTTCGAATGGGACAGTTTAACCAAGTTTAACTCATTAAGGTGTTAATCATAGGTCCTAGTACAAATAGAGCTTTACTATGTGGATAAAATGGAGCTGAGTGTGGACCTGAACTTATTCCGTTGTAACTTCGGTAGCCTAGCGCAAAATATTTTCCTTGTTTCCAAGACACCAGTTCCGAATTCGAAAATACACAGGGTGATCGCCAGTAAATGACCATTTTAACATTGCCTTCGCTCTTTGAAGAATACCGTGTAGAAGAGATTACTTACATAAAGTGCACCGTATTTGAGGGTCACTGAGGTGCCATTTTTAAGAACTATATCCCAGTCTCCGTTGGGCAAATATTTCACTGGCACGCTTTCACTCCGATTTTTAAAAAGTTCTCCATTACCGATGAGAATACCCAAGCGCTCAAAGGCGACGAATTCGTTTAGCATGGTCTTGACACCAATGAGTTCAGCTACCTTGAGGCAATCCTCTGACGGTATTCCCATTGTGAATGCGATGGGCCAGAGAACATATGAGAAAACAAGCTATAACAATAAAACTATGCGTTACGTTGTAATTACATTAATTCACCTTGTAAATGGACACGAAGTACTTACTTCAAAGGTTAGATCTTGTTGCATGCACGCACGATAACCTAGCCACGTGAGAGTACTGTTGAAGAAATTGTAAATACTCAGAAAGGCGATGAGGTTTGAGACAATTCCGGCACAAATGGGTATGGAGTCCATGGCGCCAACCATCGCTGCCTCCAGCACATTATTATGGGGGCTCTTTATCTTTTCACAGGAATCCACTTTGGCCAGAGGAGCGCGTTTCGTTTCTGGGTAGATGACTTTGGCGATGGCCAAGGCCGCGGGTGCTGACATGACACACGCGATCAGCAAGTGATTGGCCGGCACCTGCAAAAAGGAGTCGGTTTGGTCGCCCCAGCAACAACACAACAGGGACCACAAACATAGCCACACAAACACTTGGTTTTTAAACTTACACCGAAGCTTATGTATGCTGCAAGTACAGATCCCGCGACAGAGGCGAATCCATTCACAGTTATTGCATTCAGTTCGGAGTTGGTCATCAAGTGCATGTATGGCCGGGTGATGAGGGGCGATTCCGTCTGGAGGAGAAATAGATGAATAAATGTTACAGGAGTGGGGGGTCATCACTGACGTATACGTCGAAGCTAGTGTTGAGTTTTTGTGCTACATGGTCAAACTTTTAACGGGGTGATGCATAAAGGGACATAAAATTAATCGTTGTAATTATTGTAATAAGTATCCAACTAATTGTGCCGTCGTTTATTACCACTCACAGGGTTTAATTAACTACTTCGTGCTACCCATTTGAGGGTTTGTAATGATCAAGCAAAGCATTTCTTTACAAAAAACTTAAAAACAAGCATCACGGTTGGCCTACCATGGAGACAAATATGTTGGCAACAGCGTTGAGAGTTTCTGGGCCCGTGGTTCCCAGAACTTTTGTAGCAATTACTGATGGCTTATCTATCAGAAGGGAGATAATTCCAAGGTGGAAGGCTATTGAGATGAATGATGAGAAGAATATCACAACTGGAAGTACCTGAAATAAAGGTAACAGAAGAAGATAAGCATAGAGCGAGGGTTGAAGGGGGCTGCAAGTGGCAAGAGTGCTCGAGAAATTAACTCACAGTGAAGGCAAACGGAGTGAGGTCGCCGAAAACGAAAGAGGAGCCCGCCGTGCTGTGTGCCAGAAACTCGGCCATTCGGTCGCCGAGGAATTGAAAAGCAATAAAACCTGGTCGTGTTTGGAGTGTTAGCACGGCGAAAACCAACTGCACAAAGATGCCTCCTATCACTGGCCGCCATTTGATCTGGAAGTGCAAAAAACACGTCCTCATTGTACTACTTGTCGTGAATCATATAAACATAAACAGTAAACCTTTTAAACGTACTTTGCCTGGGTATTTTGAGATGAGTATTGAAATAAGTAGAAGCAGAGCTATTCCGGAAAGGGAGATCAAATTACGCACATCCGTAAGAATCACGAAGAAAATCAAACAAAGTATGGTGAAGATGGCCATAAGCAAGCCAACCACTCTGAAAAGCAAATACCATGGAAGAATAAATCATGCGTTTCGAGTTGTTTGCATTTATGTAGATTTTTACTTACATTTTTATAGTCAGAATCTTCTTTTTCTTTTGTGATTTCTTATTCGAATCGATGCGGTCCCATATGGACTGGCTTAGCTTGTGGATACCGTTTTTTATGCTAGTCCAGCAATTAGTGAGTCCATCTCCCATGGCAGCAAATGGAGAGAAGCACCCACCCTTAAGTCGTCCAAGTCGACTAAGTCGTCGAGCGAGTTTAAAAAGAATGACAATCCAGACAATGACAGACAGCCAAACAAGTCGGACGTCGTCCTCGATGGCAAGTTTGTTGCAGTAGATACAGTAGCCGACATATGCAGCATCAACAAGGAGGAGGAAAGTGAGGCCTACCAAGCCGGCAACGCCATCACAACAAACCGGTTCAACATCTTCAGTGACTGGCCTCTTTTTAAAAATGGTTTTACGAGCGTTGGCATAAAGCTGAAGGAGACGATTGAGACCGCGTGGCTTTTGGAATTTTTTATCTGGAAAGTCTTTGCCCTCCCACGTCTCAATCGGTTTGTCAGTTGCATTCTCCGGCTCATCGTAGGTATCGTCTGTGGAAGAGTTCTCTTGATCCTAAACGAGACAGCATGTAAACAGTTTACATTACATAAAATAATTAACGAGAAAACTTATAAGCAATCATATGATGACGTCTACGCACCGAGTCGGGGAAGCTAATCTCGAAGTCGTCTTTATCTATACTACTCATTTTTCCTATATGGCAAAATCTCGAAAGGCGTAGTTTATATACAGTGAATTCACCAGTAAAAAACGCCTACGTATACAGAGCAAGTGTGGATTCCGCTTAAGAGCCTATGCGGCACAAGGATGTGAGTACGATGACTAAGGGAATTGGGTGATATGAACTTAAATGAGCTTACCTGTCACAATTTGCATCGCGGAACCGCAATGTTCACTGCCTCTTTTTACTATCCCAGCATTGAGTTATGCGCACAATTTGGTGGGGGAGTTTCGTGAATGCGGAGGTCAGAGAGTACCCCATGATTTAAAAGGCAATCATGAGTAGTACAAGTTAACTTGATGTGCTGGACGATGGAAATCGCACAGATAATATTAAGGGACAAGTAAGTGAATCAGATTTTAACGATTTTACTAGACCTATATTAATAAATTGATTTCTATGTCTGGCGCATAAGCAAACCGGTTTGCAGTTTCGTTTTTTTTCATAAAATATAAAATTATGTAAAAAAGGGGTTTCGGTTGTTGGCTAACAAGGCTTGGGCTGTAAAAACTTGACTTTTAAAATCAAAGGTAGTGATATCTGGGTTTTCCATACCAAAACTTCCTTCTGAGCGCCAAAAATTAGGTAATGACGGTCTTGATATAATCATTTCAGCATCACTAAGAAGCCGCTGTTAAAATTTAAGAAGAATAAAGCATTTGTTTCCGAGGCTACATAGTTGATGTCATTTATTATTAAACACAACCATCCTAGTAATTTCATTTAAGTGGAGTAACGCTGAAAATCACTTGCCGCATTTATTGTGCTCGAAATTCTGTTTAGCAAAATGCAACATTTTGTGCATCTCCAACTTATTAGTTACTGAACTACATTTAGGATTGTTACCTTCTCAAGTTGTTATATTGGAAGTGCACGGAAAATAATCATCTTAATGAAATCACTCAGAACTGCGAAATAGGGTTTTAATACGAATTTTATTGAAGTGCTGGATGCGTCACAAAAACCAGTTGGTTGTTGTGCCACAATTGGGGCAGAAAGTGTGGCAGAAGGCTTAACATGTCATTGCTGAGATCCAGTAGTGTATATTTATTGCATAAGTGGCGTTTTGTATGACTCAGCATCAACATACTTAGATGCGACAGATAAGGTAAACATTTCGAGGCAAATAAATATTGCATTGACCACTTGGACTTACCTCGGCTGTCCAATGGGTCAACGAAATTTAGCCAAGGGGACCAAAATAAGCAGTTTGATCAATGAGAGTGATTTTGTTCACGGGCTGAGTACTAGGGGAGGCTCAATCGCTGTTTAGATCATAGAAAAGGAAAAGCCCACTAAATTATCATTATCATTTAGGAGAACATATGCTCCGAAGAAAATCGAATGAAAGATTGGTCCAACGGGCCATTTTCCATTGTTAATATGCTCCGGGTTCAATTAAGAAGAGCTGTAAAGCGTAGTTATTCGCGAGTCCACTTTGAATCCCTATGTCACTCTCCTTTAATGACCTTCCCTAGTTTTTTCTATGCTCATGGTTACGAGATCGTAAATGGTCAAAAATATTTACGTTAAGACAGACGTATTTTTGAAGTGACATTCAAGAAGACGTCGCATTCGCAAATGATTAAGGAGATTATCTTGATTTCAATGGCGCTTACATCTATAAATAGATCAGACTTTCGGCAATCTAAAACAATTTAAAATTTACATACCTTCTGAACTACCAGCAATGGGACAAACAGCGTCGAGGTCTTGATGAAATTAACAATAGCAAAGTTCTTTCGAAGCCTGGAGTCCCGGGCAGTAAGTAAGCCTGTTCTTCGCGGACACCCTATGAACAAGGAAGGCGACGTGGAAACCGACATTTACTCTCCCTCCAGGCATGATAGAGCTGGTGAGTTCCGAAGCTGCACTGTTGTGGTTAACTCTGCCCATTTAGAAATTCAATCAAGATTCGTGCTTTCCATCAATGATTTCGTTTTAGCGTATACTCGTCATGTGGTTCTGTCCCAGGGATTTAGAACAGTAATTTAAATGAAATATTATAGACTGGAGACAAGTTTATAGGTCCTGATTTACTTTTGTCTGCGACAGTACAGTTCCTTACAGTTTTGTGTACTTTTCTGTCATCTGATAAAAAGTACATATACAACGTGAATCAAGCCGTAAACCTGTGATGACGTGGTATCATGATTACTAAACATGCATATAATACGACGGAACACATGGTCACAGCATGTTATTGGGTTCTAAGCTGTGGTCAAGTAAAGCCGCTTTAATGGGATTGTTGGGAGAGGATGAGTAACCGCATGGCGCGTGCCCCGAAATTCATAAAGCCTAAACCCGGGGTAAACCGTCACATGTCCCCATCAATGTGACGTCATAAGATTGGAAAAAGCGAAGAGACTGTAGGTATGTCATGTGATGCGCAATCTCATTTGATGTTAAAAATAAGAAGCCACGACGCGAAATATATAGCGGCATTTTATTCAATGCCTAGTGTTTTATCGAACAGTGGATAATTAATTCTCCAAACCATCCATATGTGGGGCAGCCAGAAAACGTGTTGTCTCGTTAGAAAAAAACCAAAGCGGCTATCCAAAAGGACCCACCCAATTATGTGATTTGCCATGAGCACATTCTCATGGTTGTCAAAAGTACTTGCAATTTTGCCATTGAGAGAGCAATGGCGTCATTCACCGACGATGCTGAGGACGCAGAGTTTTGTGATGTGGTGAGTCTCCGATGTGAAGCTAACATGTCAATGCGACACGAGACGGTTTCCCCTTAATTCCTTTGTTGGTGAGGAATTTTGCTCGGAGTGAACAGCGAAGCGGACTTTGGGGTATACCCGTGCAAGCCTTAAAGGCTAACACGCCGTCGCGATTTTTATGGCCTAAGATTTTAAGATACCGGTATTTCTGGTGCAATTTTGCGCGTGTATGCCACTGTTCCTAGAAAGTGTGTCTTCAGTTGAATTGCTGTTGCAGATTGATACGTGTCTCAGGGTCCTCTCGGTGTCAATGCTGATGAACGCGTGCTCGGGTGTGTGCTGTTGGTGTGTGCCAAGTCGATGTAATTTTGTTAAGTTTTCAACTGAGTCCATCGTTGATCTACATAACAACGCAATTGTTGGCACGGAGCCAAGTTTTCTCAGTTATTTAGTGATATAAACATAAGGCGAATGAGCCCTAGAAAGTGCCATTTTAGGATTTTGTTTAATCCTATCTCTTAATATAGGAGTTTACAGAAAAATTCTATCCCCGTCCCCTTACCTACGTTAAGAATAACTGTAAATTACAATTTTGCAAGCGAATATTTTTAAAATACAAAGTTCACAGGAAAATTATTTAAATTTCATAAAAATCAATGGACGATGCTCCGGCATTTTTTTTTGAATTTCATTTCACCAAAGTCGGATTTATTACCAGACCATTTTCCAAACAGACAAAAGCGTGGCATAAATTTAAAATGGCCAAAATGAGGTCTCAACAACAGGAATAGATTGGGCCCAGCGGAAAGGAATTACAAGCATTTAATTTAAGACCGTAATTCTTGATTCACAGGACTAATTGCTCAAATGACCCCACACACCTCTGCATCACAGACTAGGATTAAGCGACAGCACCTCCAAACAGCCTCGTAGTTCATTTGACGGTGGGTGGAGTAAGTTGAGATGATTTTTGAGAAATCATCGTCTGAGGCGAGCAGCACCCTTTAATACGTTTTTTGTGAGTTCACTCCTAAGTCAATTATGCAGCACCATAATTTCACATTTAAATCGTGCTGATCCCTTTATATTTGCAACGAACCGTAGCCTACATAGGGCAAACATGTGTGCATTCATTGAAAAGGCTTCCAAGTACACCAAGTTCTCGACTTCCAGTCATGTAGTAAAATAAATAGTCAATTTCAACACCTGGTCCTTTGATATTTTTATCGAAATGCGATGACCGGACTCAAGTATAGGCTATCATTACTAGAATAGACCATCTTCGAAGATAATGCCAAAAAAGGCTTAAATTTGCGTTTTATGGCACAAAGTTTTAAGCGCCATTATCACGCTGATAAAAGGATAGGAATCCTAGGCAAGTACATTTACTGTACACCATTTCGGCGTTGCATAGAAATTGACCTAAGAAGGAGTGAGTTACACAATGAATAGTAAGTTGAAGTGCCCATTACAAGTAAAGCCCTCAATGGCTTGCAGCCAAGTTCGCAAGCGAGCACAGTTAGCAATCGTGAGCGAACACGATTCAATCGATTTGCATGAACGCACTTCACGTAAACATGTTTGTTCAAGGACCGAGGCTTAGTGAATCTATATAAACGCACTTGTTATCCTGTACACACACCATTTTCCACGACTTAATGTACGGCTACTCCATCGTTAAAAAAATCATTTGTAGTGGACAGACAGCCGCCTCGCATGAATGACGCGTGTATGCTGGCCCGACTGTACTAATGACTCACCCTTTTGCTATTGGCTCCTGTTAGCAGTCGCCTGTCACGCACGCGTGCGCATTCGCACACAAGACCGCTTGGCTGGCGTGGCCCTAATAAACGGTCGTGTTATCTGTCGCCCCCCTCTCCCCTTCTCGGATTGAAAACGGCTGTTAACTATAGGGTTGTAGGGCAGTGCTAAACCCCGCTACTGCAGACTCAGGGTTTTATACATGAAAATTGTCCTGATTAGATCGTCACAGATACCGTGATGCTAAAGCGTATTTACATGTGTTAAAACGTATGAGGAATATTCATTTTAACAAGTGATTTGCCACTAAATACAGTCTAAATTGGCAATAAGTGGTAGCCTTGAGGTATCGGGTGCACCGAATGCGCGATATAAGTGATCACTGCAAACACAGGTCAGGTAGTCGTGCTCGCCAAAATGACTTTAATGTGACCGCACATTGGCTAATTTTTCTCGTAGCGAGTCAGATTGGGACTAATACCTATACTTAATTATAATCAAGTATCTTAATCAATTAAAATTGCCCCAGAAA